AGGTTTTCATCCATCTATGTTAAGAAATTTGGAAAAGAGCTACCTGGCCAAATGACTGTAAGAGATCCATATTTGTGTCCATACCAAAGAAAATTGACCCACAGTGTGTGGAAATTTTCTGACAATATCATTAATATCACACACAAGTAAAATTTTGCTGAAGAGAAATCAAAAGCAGTGGCAGAGTACAGGAAAATGCCAGAAATTCAAGCTGGATTCAGAAGAGGGCATGGAATAAGGGATATCATTGCTGATATCAGATGGATCTTGGTTTCACAGAGAATACAAGAAAGATGTTTACCTGTGTTGTATTGACTATGCAAAACCTTCAGTTGTGTGGTCATAACAAATTATGGATATCATTGCAAAGAATGGGAATTTCAGAACACTTAATCATGCACATGAGAAGCATACGTAGTCCAAGAGGCAGTCTTAACATGGAGATACTGCATAGTTTAAAATCAGGAAAGGTGTGCATCACAGTTCATCCTTTCACTGTACTTATTTAAATGTGCATGCTGAGGAAATAATCCAAAAAGCTGGACTATATGAAGAGGAATGTGGCATGAGGATTGGAGTAAGACTCATTAATAACTTGTGATATGTAGATGATAAAACTTGCTTGCTGAAAGTAAAGATGACTTGAAGTATTTATTGATAAAGATCAAAGACTACAGCATTCAGTATCAATTATAGCTTAACATGAAGAAAACAAAAATCCTCACAACTGCACCAATAAGCAACATCAAGGTAAATGGAGAACAGATTGAAGTTGTCAAGGATTTCATTTTACTTGGATCCACAATCAATGCCCATGGAAGCAGCACTAAAGAAATCAAACAAGGTATTGCATCATGCAAATCTGCTGCAAAAGACTTCTTTTAAAGTGTTAAAGAGCAAAGATGTCACTTTGAAGGCTAAGGTGTGCCTGACCCAAGCTATGGTATTTTCAGTTGTCTCATATGCACGCAAAACCTGGGCAACGAATAAGGAAGAACGAAGAAGAACAGATGCATTTGAACTATGGTGTTGGTGCAAAATATACCACGGACTGTCAGAAGAACTAACAAATCAGTCTTGGAAGAAGTATAACCAGAATGTTTCTTAGAAGGATGGTGAGACTCCATCTGCGGTGCAATGAATTACTTGGTATGGCTTTTCTAGCCCTGGTCTTTGGATTAGTGGGTGGGACCATGCAAATAAGGTATATAGAACTCTGATGTCGGGATTGGTTAGTTTTGTCACTCTGCCAGGCTTAAAATACTCTGATGTCGGGATTGGTTAGTTTTGTCACTCTGCCAGGCTTAAAATAAGCCCTCCTAAAGGCAGAGAGGAGATCTCACTGCCATCATGAGAGAAGAGCTGAAAGTGAAGTGGAGCACATCCTTGGACCTGAGATCCTTGAACTAGACCTCCTTGGCTGAGAGGCACCCCAGCAGAGAGACATCCTAGAGGAGAGACACCCTGGCAGGGAGACAGTGGCAGTGGAACCAAGAGGCACAAGACAGAGCGGCAGGCTTACCTGATCCACAGAGGCAGAGGCCAGGACAAGAGGGCCAGAGAAGAGTGTCTGAAGGCACAGCAGAGGAGAGACTGTCCTGATCAAAGAATTGTATCCTGAGCACCTTCCTGAACCTGATTTGTAGCCTGTTAATTCCCTAGTAAGACTCATAATTGTGAGTATTGTCTGTGAGTTCTGGGTGGCTACTGCAATGAATCATTGAACCCAGCCAAGAAATAGTGAGTACCGTGGGGAAAGGGGAACGGTTAGTGTCAAAGTTGGTAAAAAGGGTAGAGGGTGACAGCATGCCTGGCCTCAAAGGAATAAGCCTTGGGCTGTTGATGGTGATTCTGTCTTCCTCTTAAGAAGTTAGAGGAGGTCAGAAGATGCTGCCTTCATGTTCTTTTTTTGGACCATCTTACATACTTTGGATATGTTATCAGCAGACATCAATCCCTGGAGAAGGACATCATGCTTGGTAAAGTTAGAGGATCAGCAAAAAGGAGGAAGACCCTCAACAAGATGGGTGGCTGAAGCAATGGGCTCAAACATAGCAACAATTGTGAGGATGGTGCAGGACCAGGCAGCACTTCTTTCTGCTATGAGGTGGAACTGACTCAACGACACCAAACAACAATCTATCTTCCTGTGCAACCTTCAAACATACAAACCAAAAAGGTCAAAAATCAACTGTTGTTGTTGTTATTATTTGCCGTAGAGTTGGACCTGACTCATGGCGACCCCTCCTTGGGTTTCTCTATGGAAGGAGATTGCCCAACCTTCCTTCCGAGGAGAGGCTGGTAGATTTAAACTGCCAGCCTTCTGGTTAGCAGTCAAGTGCCTTAGGCACTACACTACCAGAGCTCCTTAAAACAACTAAATAGAAAATGATGCATAACATATCTTGAATCAAAGGAAATACTCTAAGACATAGGGGAAATTGAGGCTTTTAAAGGATAGGAGAAAAACCATATTGGATTACTAGAGCCTTACAATGAAGGAAGACAAGAATTCAGGAACTGAGGAATAACTTTCTATACCCAGCCACTCCTCAGAAAGAAGGTTGGACAATCTACTTCCATAATGATTCCTGGAGGAGAGACACCCAGGAAACCAAGGAAACCAAATGAGGGGTCGCTATGAGTTTGATCTGACTCCATGGCCATGAGTTTGATTTTTGGAGTAAGCATAAGGTAAAAAGAGTGATAGCAGAGAGAAAAGGCAGGCACTGAGGCTCTCGGTGGAAGTGCTGAAACAAGAACATTCCAACTGTGACAGAAAATGCAGTATCACTCCCCCTCCCTCTCCATCATCTCTCAACCCAAGCATTTGCTTAATCTGGCTAATTTTTGCACTTTAGAGATGTTCTCAAATCAGTGTTTTCTGCCCAATCCTCATAACCACTACCCTAGTTCAATGCCTCAGTGTTTCCCACAGGAACACAGTAATCACCATTCCATTTTGTCTCCAGGATCACTCCTTCCAATCCATCATCTCACAGTCCCAGGGCAAATCAGACCATTCTATTCTCCAGTGCAAAACCCTTGCTTCAGGAGCTCCTCTCCAGCCTACTTGAATGATACCTATTCTCATTATATTTTCATATCATTTTCTAATGATGTGCACAAATGTTTACAATAAGGCCTACATGTGACAATGCCTATTTTATTCATGGTTGAATCCCAAACAACTATTACCTCAGTGTCTCTGCTCCACAAAGATTTAATATTTGTTCTTCGTAAATAAATAGAAGTGGAAAAATCAAGATATCAAACTGTATGCAGAATATAATCTTAATAATGCATACACAAAATATCAGAAAAATAATTTTTAAAATTTATGCTTATCCCTATTTACAGTATTTCAAGTTTGTTTATAGTTCCTTTTCCTTTACACCTGCTCTTTTTTTTTTCTTTTGAGGTTTTTCAAAATACCCACAATAATTTTTTTCTGATACTAAGAAATGAAAATATAAATAAAAACAACAGGGAATGGAGCAAAAACCGTACACCTGACAAATCAGACAGCAACGTGAGGCACAATAAAAATCCAAACTCACTGCCCACGAGTCAGGTCTGACTCATAGCAACCCCTCCTTGGGTTTCTGAGGCAGTATCTCTACAGAAGTTGATTGCCTAACCTTCCTTCTGGGGAGTGGCTGGTAGATTTGAACCACCAGTCTTCTGGTTAGCAGTCAAATGCCTTAGGCATTACGTCACCGGAGCTTCCCATGATGCACAATGAGAAGTACAAAATACCTTTTAAGCCACAGTAGATTGTTCCTGTGCTAGCTCCGCCTCTACCTTACCTCCTGCTGTTACACTGCTATCCAGCAGAGGCAGCAGTGCCAAGCTGTGCTTTGTACTTCGCATCTGTACTTGCTGCCTACTGGTACTTGCTGCCTACTCTCTCTTAACTCACTATTTCAGTATCGCCTATGTGGTAATTCGGTGTTCTTTCTATTTTTTCACTTCTAGGGCAAAATACAATTCTTGGCATACTGAAGTGTGTATTGAATGTTGATGGAGTAAATTAACAAATAAGACAGTGACCACTGAATTTAAGGCCCATTTCTTTCATTTACTATAAAATGGAGACACTAAACATACTTATGAGGACATTGGTGGTCCAGTGGTAGAATTGGTGCCTTCCATACAGAAGACCCTGGTTTGATTACCAGCCAAGGCACCTCAAGTATGGCTATTGCTTGTCTGTCAGTGGTGGCTTGTGTGTGTTGCTATCATGCTGAAAAGCCTTCAGCAGAGCTTCTGACTTAAATGGACTATGAAGAAAAGCTTGGAGATCTGCTTCTGAAAAGCAGTTAATGAAAACCATATACATCATAACAATTTGATCTGCGATTGATTATGGGAATGGTTCAGGACCAGGCAGCAGTTAGTTCTGTCGTACACAGGGTTGCCATAAGTCAGGGGCTCATATGACAACAGCTAACAGCAATCATACTTACCTCAGATTGATTTGCGTGTTGGAAGAGAAAATATGTATAAAACATGTCTAGCACATAATAAAGAAGTTCTGATGGCGTAGTGGTTAGGGTATTTGGCTGCTCATCAAAAGGTCAGTGGTTCAAACCCACTAGTCACTCCACAGAAGAAAGATGCAGCAATTTGCTTCTGTAAAGATTTATAGCCTTGGAAACCCAGTGGGGGTTGCTATGAGTCGGGATCAACTTGATGTCAATGAGATTTTCTTTTTATGAGCACATGACAAACACTTAATAAACAAAAGTAGTTATTAATTCTTATCAACGTGACCATACACAAGTTGTTTGGCTCCTTAGCTACAATCACCTTAAATTGTGGATAATTCCTGCCAACTTTACTGGCTTGATCATAGGAACTAATGAGATACTAAGAGCTCAAAGCAGTTTGGGAAACAAATCACTAGACAAACACATATATCGATCATGATGGTGATTATGTGCTATTTTTTCTGTGACTCTTACCTACAATGCATTTATCCTTTAAGGTTATATTACCTTTGCTGATGTTTCAAACCATCCTACGAAACCATGCTCCTTGCAGAACTGGTCCATCTTGAGGCCATTGTTCATGAGCACATCTTTCCCCTGATCACATTTGTTGGCCAACAGAACTGCTGAAACTGGTTTGCCATTAGGGAGAGTTAACTTTGAGTCCAAATCACTTTTCCACTTTGTCACTGCTTCAAAAGTGGCTGGCCTGGTGACATCGAAGACAACAAATGCACCCATAGCTTCTCGGTAATAGACCCTTGTCATGTTTCCAAATCTTTCTTGACCTGTCACCAAAAAGAAATACAAATTAACAACTTATACAACTCTAAACTAAATCATAGACTGGCACCTCAAGAGGCCTCCAGGATGAACAGCTTACTCAATAAAGTGTTCCATTGCTAATCCTTAAAGAGTGAGCTAAGCCTACAATTTTTATGTTCAGGAGGGAATTTATTAATTTACCAAATATTTATTTAGAAATTTCAGCATGTAATATTATAGACCCGTGCTGTCTAGTATATTATCCACTAGCTACATGTGATTATTTAAATTTAATTTTAAATTTATTAAAATGAAACAACATTTGAAATTAAGTTCCTCAGTCAAACTGGCTAACTGCATCTCAAATGCTCAAAAATCACATGGGACTAGAGGCTACTGCATTGCAGAGTGCCAATATAGAACATTTCCACTATTACAGTAAGTTTTATGTGACAGTGTTGTCTTAGACTTGGGATACAATGATCAAAACATGAGACTTTTGCCTTATGAAGCTTACATCTTAGTAGGAAGACAGATGATAAAAAATAAACATAACAAATTAGTAAATTACATAATATGTTAAAAGGGTATCCACAATCTATTCCAAAATCTACTCTACTCACTGTCGTTGAGTCGGATCCAACTCATAGTGACCCCTCCTTGGGTTCCTGAGGCAGTATCACTGAAGAAATAGATTGCCCAAACTTTCTTCGGAGGAGTGGGTTTGAACCACCAGTCTTCTGATTAGCAGTCAAATGCCTTAGGTACTACACCACCAGAGCTCCCAAAAGCTACTCCAATCAAGGGGAATAATATTACTTAACATGCATTTTATGTTTACTAACCACCAGAGATGTGAGTATTAATTGCACCTTCCTGTCATTTTTCAAATGAGAAAATTGAGGCTTAGGGAGGCTAAGTAACTTGTTAAAATTATACAGATGGCAAGTTTGGGAAGTGCAGATTCAAACCTGACCTGTTTGAATTCACAATCAATGCCCATTTTTCGCCATTACATGCTCTCAACTACTAAACTAGGCTTGTACTATCTCTCCTTCAGGCTTATGTACCAGGAGTGTCTCATTCAATTCAATTCAACACATATTTATTGGACATCTACTATGTTAGTGACAGTTGCTGGTCTAGACGTCCAGAATAAAACAATGAACTAAATCTCCACCCTTAAGTAGTCTATAATCTATTGGACAAGGAAGCCCTCTGTTACTTAAAAAAAAAAAAAAAGGATTGGAGTTTTTTAATCAGTTTTGCTCTGATGCTTAATTTTCTAATGAATATTAGAAATATTGGCAGTTTCTTAGACACTCTAAGCTTTACCATCCTCACCTGAAAAATAGTAATAATAATATGTACCTCACAGAGTGGTCCTGTGGCTGAAACTAATTAACATATGTAAAGCACTCAGTACTGTACCTTAGAACTATTTAGTACTAAAGTTTTCTTTCCCTTTCCCTCTCACTGCCATGGAGTCATTTCCGACTCATAATCATCCCCCTTTGGGTTTCTGAGGTGGTATATTTATGGAAGTAGATTTCCTAATCTTCTTAGCAGTGGCTGGTGGGTTTAAACTGCCAGCCTTCTGGTTAGCAGTCAAATGCCTTAGGCACTGCGCCACCAGCTCCCTTATTTAAAAATATGAAGGACATTATAACTTATGTACTGAAATCAGAATTCCAGACCAGAGTTTACGGTGAAAAATTGTAAGTATTTCAGATAATCAAAAAAAGTGAGCAAAATCCTTTTTCTTCTAGCTCAGTCTACCAGTGGTTGCTGAAAACAGTAGCTAATGAAGACTGGGCTCATATTTTTTGAAACAAAAACCCTTAAAGTATGTAACCAGCCAAACCCTTTTTAATCTGATTTGAGAATTTATTTATATTAAGATTCTTATAAAGTTATATAAATTAAAACAGGTTAGGTCACCTCAGACCCAAGGAGGGGTCGCTCTGAGTTGGGTACGACTCAATGGCATATAACAACAACAACAACAAGACGCTGTAGGTTAACTTACCTCAAAGAACACTTCAAACTTTATACTTAATTTTGAGCTCAAGGTTATTTTCTAGATTTGTTATAATCACAGTTCCATTAGCACTTCAGGTTCAAGAAGAGAATAATCCCTGAACATTTAGTGAAAACAGATGATGTTCAAAGGCTCCTAGTCCTGGGGAACTAACAACCCTAGATGCTCATGTGTTCATTGGGCTCGAGTGTGTATATTGAGCAATGAAAAGAAGAGCATTTTGTTAGAATCACCACATGATAATCCTAAAGACATTTCTTACACGAGTCATACCCCAAAAGTACTTCTTTTTCCATAGTCATCCAGTCAATGAAGAAACTTATAAAACACTTTTCATATGACATAAAACCCACAGATGAACTTCCATTTTTCCTAAATGAGCTTCAAATTTCTTTCCCTTTTTTTTTTTTTTTTTTTAATATGTGCTACAAACACTGATCTTCTTTGATAATGCTCAGGGTAGCCATGACATTTCCGGAAAACAGGGGAAAAAGGGCCTCTGTGATCATTCAGGATTCTGAAGGCCTCTAGGCTTTTTAAGGATGTCTTATGATCCCTTTCAGGGTACTAATCAGATGAAAGGCAAAGTCATGGGTTATTTAATAATCTGATTGTCCAGAGGTTCATAACCAAAAGAACCAAACCTGTTGCCACTGAGTGAATTCTGATTCATAGCGACCCTGTAGGACAGAGTAGAAATACCTGATAGGGTTTCCAAGGCTGTAATCTTTATGGAAGGAGACTAAATATCTTTCTCCTGTGGAGTAGCTGGTGGGTTTGAACCACTGACCTTTTGGTGAGCAGCCTAATGTCTTAACCACTACACCACCAGAGCTCCTTTATACCTTCACAGGGGTCCACGAAGGAAACTGTGTTTTTGTTTGAATTTAGGAGTATATGTGTGTCAGATCAGAAACAAGTAAAAGAAAGCTCATTTCTAGAAAGAAAAGACCTTTGTATATCAAGGTCACTGGGCCAGCAGACTGAAAGTTTGTATTTTGGGTATTCTGGCCGGGGTCACATTCAGATCAAGGCATTACCAGCACTCACATTTTATCTTTATTTTGTCAGCTGACAGCCCTCGCTGCTATGTCTTATTAAAAAAAGTAATAATAATAGACAACCATATGACTCGTAGTACATGTCTACACATGGGCAGAGAGCTGAGGAAATTTACTTTAAAAAAAATAATTATTTATTTTTGGAAATTTACTTTAAAAAAATAAAAACAGACTATGTTAAAAAAGTCTTTGAAGTTAGATCATTCATTTAACATATTTATTGAATAACTAATAAATTTCAGGTGTTGTTCTCTGTGCCTGCAAATGCATGTTTTGTACCACTGAGGAATTTCTAACCTAATGATCATATTGGATGCCTGAAATGAAAATGATCCAATTCACCACGTAGGTCACCACCTTTCTTAGCCTCTAAAGACTCACTCCATAGCTGTAGATGTGGCTCATGATTTATCTTCGAAGGGCACTAAATGAGAAAGCAATCAACTGAATCACAAAAGTTAATATGGCTTCAATAATGATCAAACAACTTTGTGGCAGAAGGCAATGAATTGAAAGGTTGAAAGACATGGGTCTGTAACTATGGTTACCATTGCAGCTTTGAGCAAATATGTTTCTCTCCCTGAGACTCAGTTTTCTCACTTGGCTAAGGCATTTGACTGCTAACCAGAAGTAGGTGGTTCAAACCCACCAGCCACTCTGCAGAAGGAAGATGAAGTAATCTACTTCCATAAAGTTTTACTGCCTTGGAAATCCAATGAGGGTTGCTACGAGTCAGAATCAACTCAATGGCAGTGGGTTTGGTTTTGGCTTTTAAAATGCTAGTTAGTCTGGCTGGTCTTTAAGGTGCCTTCCTGCTCTCACTCTTTTGGCTCTATGAAGAAACATTAAATCCTTGGCCCTCTGTCCCAACAGCTTGAAATGTATATTTGGTGCCATGGATTTCTAGCTAAAAATACACACAGGCAATACAGCCATAACGTGCACTTAATGATATTTTCACCTGGTAATTAGTATTATATAGATGCTCTCAGGGGATATAGCAAACTAGTGATGTTTCTAGTCAGATATAAAAACAGCAGGAGGAAGCAGGTCAGGTTTTCCATTAAACTGGGCACTTTATGTCCCTAACAGCTAGCTCTGTGATCTCAGGGCAGTCATTTTACCATTCTGAGTTTCAGTTTTCTCTCGGCAAAATAAGGAAACAGGATTGGATACTCTAAAGTAAATTCATTATTGCTTTGTGCAACTCCCTTTAGTCAATCACATACCTCCCAACTTTAATATGAAGGCATCCAATTTTTCCCCTTCTACTCCTATAGTATTCAATCTGGTTCACATTGCCATCATCCACATGGCACTCAGAGTGCTACTTTCAAGTGATCTTCCAATGGTTTCCTCACTCACACATCCGAGAGTCTCTAACCTCTTGTCAACATTTATCCTTCAGATATGGCTCTTGATTCTGTCCTTCCTTCCATCCAGTTCAGGCCCTCAGTGGTCCATACCTGGCCCCTGACAGTTCCCTAACTCTTAAAAATGTAAATCTTATCACTATGCTCTGTTGCTTTAGCATATCTTACAGGATTAGAAAGAAAGCTACCTGAATTAGAGCTATACATGAGGTTGTTTGCTTTGTCTCCAATCACCATTCCAAACCCTCTTATCATTCCCTGCATTGGGCTTTATGTTCTCCTAAACAAAACCGACATTATGCCCTAGATTTTCTTGCACTTTTACATCTCTATTTCCTCATCTGGAATGCTATCCTCATCTTTCCTCCCATTCTGTTCAGTCAAATCCTATGCATCCTTTAATTGTGCCCTGAAATGTCACCACATTTATGCAGTTTCTGGTCCTTCCAGCTGGAAGCAATAACTCCCTTGTTCACAACTCTGCACATTTTCTTTTTCCTACACCATTCACACTTATCATGCTATGTATTCATGCATTGGTCTCCATC